TCACGAGGTGGTTTGATTGATATGAGGCCAAGGGCCTAGTTTTGATGCCATGAGATGGCTTGTTATTGCGCTTGGGTCGTAAGGGGCCCTTCCAGGAGTCTGCACACCCCCAGTGAGCGTGGGCACCCATTGTGATGTGAGATTGAGCCCGAAGGACTAGTATTGTTCTATGTGATTGCCCGGAGGGCTGGTACTGTTCTGAGATGTTGCCCGAGGGGCGGATTTGTTGATACTGTGCCCGAGGGGCGAGCCTTTATGTGTTTACTTTTTATAATTGTCTGTCAATTACCTGCTTAATCATTGAAAAGGGATTTTTCATGAAGTTAAATTTTGAGCTAAAGGATTTTACCTATCTTTCACTGTTTTACTGTTCTGAAATGGTTTTACTGTTTCATTATAGAATGTTTTGTGCCTTACGTGTTTTCTTACTTTCAGTAATTATTTACATTTGTTACTCACTGAGTTGGAGTACTCACTTTACTCCTTGCACCCCTGTGTGCAGATTCAGGCGTAGCTGGTTCCGCTCCTGAGTGCTGATTCCTCCAGCTTCAGGCGGGCTTTCAGAGATTACGAGGTAGCTGCTTAGCGTCCGCAGCCCCGTGTCTCTACTTCTTTATCACTTCTATCTCTTTTCAGACAGTTGTATTAATTTATTGACTTAGCGGATTTGTAGTATGATTTATAGATGTTCATGACTAGTGACACCCCGGTTAGGGCTGTGTATGGGTGTTCTTCCGCGTATTTATGTTATTATTCTTATTTCGGATTTATTTTATCATGATTAGACCGTTTCTTAAATGCTTAACTGTTAATAATTGGAAAATGGGAAGTGTCGGTTTACCTTGTATTCACGAGAGGTGTCATCACTATCGGGTCCGGGTTTGGGTTGTGATAGTATAAAGGTCCTCCATATTTGGTGATGTTCTGGTCAACTCCGTGGGAACGTAACTATTCTGCGGTCCGTAGAATTCAACCTCAGATTTTCCAGGTTTTTGATCAATTTGCGGAGACTTCTGTGGCTCGCATATATCTCCTCTGGATTCTAATACACAAATATCTATAAATCTTGACCTCTTCCGAAACAAATAGTTGAAGCCACATCAATTTTTTTTGAAGAATTTCATTGTTTAAATGAAAATATAATCCAGTATATTAAAACAATTCCATTTGTCAAGTCCATCAATTTTTCAAGGTATAACTTGGTAGGAGAGAGATTCCAATGGAGATCTCACATCTCTTATTTAACAAATGATATAGTATTATTCTTTTTCAACTTTAAATAGTTTATTCACTTTTAGTTTTTCAATGGTAACCATTCATGCTATTTACTAGGAACTGAATCAAAAACTCCATAGAAATTGACGATAGAAACTAAAACGAAAGTTTTAAGACTGTTAAAATTGAGGAGTCCAAGTTTTATCAACATTGCGAATTTGTAATTCTTTGAATTGTTTTGATGCAGTGAAATTGAATATTGCAAAGTGTTACTTTCATATCTCCCCTTCTTCACTAAACATAAAAAGGAAATCCAAAGTCATTTACTGAGTAGAATTTTTGTTAGTTCATCATTGATTCTCAGCAAAAAGAAGATCACACCACGAATTTCCATCCTTCACTCATTGATTCTCAGCTCTTTAAATTCCACCAGTGAATTTGGCGAAATGAGGCTTTCAACGTACATATAAAGTTCACGCCTGAAACAAAACTTGACCTGAACCTTAGAATTAGTCTTGAAACTGTTGTGCGTCGAATTATATATATATACACTAACCTTGAACCATCTTTCAGTAAAACTTCATCATTTTGGAAGATGAATATTGGCCAAGGACGACCAAAATTACAAAGAGGGACAGAGATCACCAAATTCCATGACTCCCCAAGTCCATGCTCCTTCATCACCCACACATCCATTCGATGATCATCAACATAGAATACACAGATTACTTCCCAAACACTGTAGTCGCCAGTCAAACTTATCGCCAAAGTTGGTCAATGCGATATTACCACATGTGTCATTTAGCCTTGTGGTAGGCAAACCAGTGGAGCCTTCCGTTTATAAATTTACCACGACAGTTGGATATGATAGCGCACCTGCATGTGAACTCTAAAGTCTTTTGCCAAGAATTAGTTCTTACACTATAAAACTTAAACCATACTCGGTATCTTTCTTTCTCTTGATGACTACAATTTTGTAATCCTTTTGACACTCATTATAACCAAAACCATAAGTCTCACGATATGAACCAGTGATATCCCTCTGTGAAAGGGGCAATTCTTTGAATTCTCTTGTGGATGGATTCCATATAAAGTATTTCTTATAGCGACTAGAAATACAAAACAATCCATTACATGAACCCAAAACAAAATAGTGAAAACCAGGCTCTTTCAATAGGGATAAAGGGAGATTTTTCATGCATAACTGCTTTAAGGGAGCAAGTGTGAAAAGTTGTCCAGTTCTTGATAAAAAGAAGACTGTGGTGAGTATATTCTTGATTATTGGCTGAAAGTTTTAGATGGGTTTTGATGAATTATATTGGGAACTTGAGATAAGGGAAAGCCAAGATTTTGCATCTTCAGCAAGGTTTTCACAGGAAGCCTTAGGAGTATATATTTCAGATATTAGTTCTTCAGGAAGAAGTGGCAGTGACTCTGAATCATAGGACAAGCCAGCAATTGATGTTGCTGCTATTCGCTTCGAGAATACCATTATAATTAGCAGTCGCTGAGATTTTTTGGCTTTTGGTAGTACTAAGCTTTTAGTCGGATACTATGAACCCCTGGGGCGGTTTGCTTAGCGCATTAAGTTGTGCGGCAGGGATTATAATGCAGGAGATTATTTATATGGCAAATAAGAATAAAAAGAATATTTATGTAGTAACTAATAATAAGGAACTATTATGCCGTGATTAATAATGTAAGATTGTTATGCAAGAAATATTTAGTTTAATGGGCATTTCCTTTCAGTTAATCAGTACGTATATTTTTATTTAACATTTTATTTCGCACAAAACTTAATACAGGAATTATTTAGTACATCCAACCGAAGTTGCAGTAGATATGCAATGAATCATAAGATACTTTGTTCTGATTTTCTCACAATTCTGTTGTGTCATCTGAAGCACCCTTCCACCATGGATAAGTTTTCCCTATATATCATTTCATTGGTTTTGGTAATGCAGGTCAAAACAAATGATTGTCTCAAGATTCCTGCGGATTTTGATAGATATGGAGGATTTATTATTGCGCAAGTTACACAATTGGCCGGTTGGCCAAAAATAATTACATCCGAGCCAAATATAGAAAAAATATACATTGATTATCTCTAAAATAGGGATAAGGCAGTATTAGCCTTACCTTCCCCCCCCCCCCCCCCCCNATAAATATCACCCTAAGTGCTGATGTGGCATAGAGAACCAAACATTTGGCAAGCAGTAAAATATACGCGCTGCCACATGTAATTTTGTGTTTTTTTTAAAAAAAATTTAAATCTATTTCATTTTCTTCCTTTTTCTTTCTTTTTAATTCAAAGTATAATGGAAATATTATTTTGTATTTAGAAAAATGAAAAAGGACAATTATTTTGTATGAACTTGAAAATTATTAGAGGTATTGAGCATATTCGAACGTTGTTGAAGTTTTAAAGTTGAGAATCAAGTGCTAAATTCACACTAAATCCTTAGTTGTTAATGAGATTCGAAAATGAAAAAAGAATTTCGAATCCATTATTGTTGAACCTTCAAAAAGCTTGAAGAACAAAGAAAATGGATTTGTTGAAATTCTTGGTTGTTGGCCAAATTGATTACTAGGTATGGTGATGATGTTGTTGTGAAGTTGTAGTTAAAATTTGAGCTTGATTGGCGCGGATTAGCTGAATTTTTGTTGAATTTTGACACCAAAAAATAGATTTGGAGCTCTTGAAAATGGTGATAAGATGTGGATGAAGAGCTCTTGAAAATAGCTTTGGAACTGACACGTGACCATTTTCGTATAGGTTAGAGCCCTTTTTTTAAGCTCTCATGCGCTTGAAGGAGTTGTTCTCACGCATTGCTCCACGTCAGCAATAAAAGTGCAAAGAATTATGAAAAAAAATTACGGGGTAATAGGACCACCGCAAAGGTAAGTGTGTAATAGCAACTTCGGGTCTAGTTCGGGGGTTATAGTGTATTATCCATATAAAAAATATATATATTTTATGAGCATTAAACATTAATAAAAAAAAATACATACTGCCAACTATTATTTTTGGGAGCGACTAAACTATGTGGTTTTCCCTATATTATTTTTTTTCAACTTTAAATGGTCTATTCACCGTTCATGTTATTAACTAGGAACTGAATCGAGAAACCTTATATACTAATACAATGACAATAAAAACTGAATCAAAATGTCCAGTATGACCACTGAAACAAAGTTTTACCAACACTGCAGATTTGTAAATGTTGAATTGCTTCTTTGACAGTAAAAAATAATATTGCAAAGGTTATTTCATATTTCCCCTTCTTCAGTAACATGCAGAAAAGGAGTTCCATACCAAAACAAGAAGGGAAAATATGAAAGAATACTAAGCAATATTTACCTCATCCATTAATATCCGACGATCAAAATGGCATTGTACAAAAAGGGAAGTCATGATTTGTGCTGGTATCTTACGACCTCGTGGTTCTGTTGATAAAAGTTCAGTTGAGGTGTAAGCTACAAGCAACACGAGTTGGGTGTTTCGCCTCATTTAGTTGGTCTTTTAATGCAGGCAACAAGTCACTGAAATGTGCGCCTTATTGCCCATGAGCTCCATCCTGAAGAGATCAACAACACTTAACAGCTGCATCTAATTGTGAAATAAACAAATAAATCAGCTCCCAGTAGTTTCTTTGTTTGTTGTTCCTTTTAATTCTTCATGTTTTCAAAGTTCACCTGTTCTACTATTGCATCCCCCCACCAAAAACAAGACTCTCACACACGCACACATATCTGTTTTTGTGTGTGTAATTCTTGAGGGAGAGCATTTAACGAGCACCAGAGAGATGCATAACCCCAGTTCCTGGAGAGCAAGAACATGCCAAAACTTACACTGGAAAAACTTGCAGCACGTAGATCTCGAGGAATCAACCTCAAAACTACTTGATCAAAGAAGTGTCCTTATTGTAACAAACTACTCTACTTTGTTGTATATTCAAAAATTCTTTTATTGGATGTCCCCGAAGGGATAGCCTAGTTGTTCAACAACCTATCAAAACGAACCAAATTACAGTAGGAACTTTCATGAAGCTCACAAGAAGATGATCGGTACATGTTTAATATGCATTCAGGCAGCTGTTTATTACCCCAAATCTTTCCTATTTGGCATTGATCTTTAGTGTATTCAAGGATTTTGTAACAACATGGTGCATGATATGAATTGTGTAGAAATATAGAACTCCAATTGAGCATGATAATTGTAGCATTTCTCGGTTCAATGTTGCAGGCCAAGCACCTTAGAAGCAGTGGCGGAGCCAGAATTTTTACTAAGTCAAAATACAAATAAGTAAACATACAAAAAAATAAAGGGGAGTCAAGATATATAGAATATACACAAGAATAAAAATTTAACCTATCCGACATTGCTTACTAGATAAGGAAAATGCGAAAAAATATGACAAGACACAAAGTCATCAATAAATTTGAAAACAGGGATACCAGGCAACCAGAAAGATCTTTTACCATCTCTTTTTTTGCCTTCAAGGCGTAACCTGTCATCACATCACTAAATATGAGGTGAAGTAAGGCTCTCTAAGTAGGTGGCCACTTGAACTTGAAGGAAATCACCCGACACATAATCGGCAAGTCGCTTGAATGATGCATTCCTTGGATTGTACAGTATTAGCTCTGTGCCAAGCTTCAAAAGAACATCACCGTTCTCTGCCACATACAATGGAGTGATATCAACTCTACGGTCAACAGGCAACGAGATGGCAACCAACTTAGTCCAGGATTTCTCGACACCATACTCCTTCATCACCCACATATCTGCCTTATTTGTTTCATAGTTGCAACAAGCAACTAAACGCCCTCTTGAAACGCCTAATGTCCAATAAACGCCCCGATCTTCATAACTAGGCAGTGCTATTTGTCCATATCTCTGTGCAGCGAAATCCAAAGTAACAATCTCCGAAGAAGCACGTGAAATATGAGGATGGCAAACATCCCAATGAAGAGCCCCATTTGCAAACACACCCACCATTCCATTTATACAACCACTATTAAAACCCTGAATAGTTGACCAAGAATTAGCCTTTAAGCTATAAACCTTAACTATGTTCTCATGTCTGCCTTCATTTTGAGGAAAACTAAAGATCTTGACAACCTTATAATCTTCAATAGATGCATCATAACCAAATCCATATCTAACATAACAACCACCAGCACCAACTTTATACTGAGACATTGTATCAGGAAATACATTAAAATTTCCAGTACATGGATTCAATAGCATTAGTGTATATGAGTCACTAGTTAAACAAACTAAACCATTGCAAGAACCCAAAAGCCAAGCCGAGAGAGGCAAAGATTTAGGAGGACAACCATGTTTAGCCGCAGTAATAAATGAATTTTCACACTTTATGGTGTAAACATGGCAGATTTTACCTAAACCAGAGACTGAGGCTACACCAGCAATTGTATAATCAGTCATTTTGGGGTTCTTTATGGAAAAATTGACACGGGTTTTGTGGAATTCTGTATTTGAGATTAAAGAAAGCCATAATTTTGAAACACACCTGAATTTCAAGAGGCATTTGACAGGTAACCTGACCAGAATTTCAATGATTAGTTCTTGTGATAATTCTTGGGGTAAAAGGTTTGTTCCTTCAGATGTTTTCTCCATCTTTTGTAACTCAATTGCTACTGAAATTCAATAGCATTAAGAAGCTGTTGAAAAACTTTGTGTGGAGTTTGAGAAATGTTTTTTTGGGCCTAAGGGAAGTATAGTCTCATTATTACAATTTTTTATCTTTTCCCGAAATAGGTGGGTCACATTAACTATGGCTATTGCAATTATATTGCAACCAGTGGAAGAAGAAGCAGCACAATTTATGGACAGATTTAAGTGTAGGAAACAAATACAAGGTTATGATGTGAACGCATCAGATACAATAATGAATTTCTTGCGAACCTTACACGTAAGGCACACTTTCCTCTCTTATTTGCCTTACGTTTTCTTGCGTTGTCATCTTCCTATATTACAGCAGTCTCTTGATCTACTATTTGATTGGACAAACTATACATATGTGACGGACACTGATGCATACTACAATATATTTTCAAAGTTGAATTAATTGTAAATCTTGAATATATATCAAAGATTATGGCAGTCACTAAATAATAAATAAGACAATAATACAACAATAAAAGGAACACCAAAATTTACGAGGTTCGGTCAATTTTGCCTACTTCCTCGGACACAACCAATATTTTATTCCACTCCAAAAATACAAGTGAAATAATACTAAAGAGAGAAGATACAAATGCCTTAAGAAGATAAGAAAGCAAATTAGAGATGTATTTAAATCCTAAACATTAGGCCTCCTTTTATAGGGTGAAATTCCCAACAACTTTCTTCCTTCAGCCGATGTGGGACATTTTGGCATTCAACAAATCTCCACCTTGGCAAAATTCCACATCTTCAATTTTCTCTCAATAACAAATTTTGGTTGTGTCTTCATCTTCAATCTTCGGTGTTCAACAATGTTGAAACTTGACCGCAGTTACCACTTTTCTCAGCATATCAGCAGGATTCTCTGTAGTATGAATTTTCTTCATCGTGACTCCAGCTTCTTCTATGATTTATCGTACGAAATGATACCGAACATCAATGTACTTCGTCCTTGCATGATAAACTTGGTTCTTTGCTAATTGAATAGCACTTTGACTATCACAAAAAATTGTGATACTTTTTTATCCAATGTCAAGCTCTTTTAGCAACCCCTGAAGTCAAATTGCCTCCTTCACAGCCTCTGTAATAGCCATGTACTCTGCCTCTGTTGTAGACAAAGCAACTGTTGACTACAAAGTAGACTTCCAACTAACTAGTACCTTTGCAAAAATAAACACATAACCAGTAGTTGATTTTCGTTTGTCCAGATCACCAGCAAAATCTGAGTCACAATATCCAACTACAGATTGATTGTCTTCCTGCTCAAAAACTAACCCAANACGTTGTTGTACTCTCTTCAAATATTCCTTTTGAGATAAACAGAGTTTCTTTGAACGTCTATCTCTTATTATCTCCATGCCAAGAATTTTCTTTGCCTCACCCAGATCCTTCATCTCGAACTCCTTCTTCAGTTGAATCTTCAACTTATCAATTTCTTAGAAGTTATCAACATATCATCAACATATAGGAGAATATATACAAATGAACCATCTTCAAGCTTGCGCAAATACACACAATGATCGTATTTGCTTCTCTTGTACCCTTGCCGCAACATAAACTTGTCAAATCGCTTGTACCATTGTCTAGAAGATTGCTTCAATCCATACAATGATTTTTCAATTTTGCATACCATATTTTCTTTTTCAGCAACTTTGAATCCTTCTGGCTGAGTCATGTAGATTTCCTCTTCCAAGTTTCCATGTAGAAACGCAGTTTTTACATCCATCTGAACTAGTTCCAAATCTAACTGTGCTACCAAAGCCAACACAATTCTAATGAAGGAATGTTTTACAACTGGAGAAAATACTTCATTGTAATCAATTCCCTCCCTTTGAGCATATCCTTTGGCCACCAATCTTGCTTTGTAGCGAACATCTACTTGGTTAGGAAATCCTTCCTTCTTTGCGTAAACCCATTTGCACCCAATTGCTTTCTTGCCCTTCAGGAGATTGGTCAATCTCCATGTATGATTCTGATGAAGGGACTGTATTTCATAATTCATGGCAATCCTCCACTTATCTTCTTCTGAACTTTGGACTGCGTCTTTATAAGTGGTAGAAACATCATCAGCTACAATTGAGGCGGCACAAGCCACTGTCTCTATGAGACGAACCGGTTTCTTTATTGTCCTTTTAGGTTTACTTGTTGCAATTGACTCAAGTTGTTGTTGAGGTTCTTGAGTTGGAACCTCCTTCTCAACTGGCTCTTCTTCCCGAGGATGATCTTCATTTGTTTCATCCTCTACTTCTTGTGTAGGAAAAATAAATTTTCCCTCAAACTCCACCTGCTTAGAAGTACCATCATCTTGTTTGGTATCTTCATTTGTTAACTTATTTACCATAGTAGATTCATCGAAGGTAACATCCCTGCTGAATAATAGTTTCTTTGTCATAGGACACCATAAGCGGTATCATTTGACTCTAGAAGTAATCCCCATAAAAATAGTCTTCTTTGCCCTTGGATCCAATTTTGAATCTGTCACATGATAATATGCAGTTGAGCCAAACACGTGCAAAGAGTCATAATCTACAGCAGGATTTCCATACAATTTTTCAAATGGTGTCTTGTCATCAATAGTAGCAGATGATAGACGATTAATGAGGTGGCATGCATATGTAATTGCCTTAGCCCAAAATTCTTTGCCCAAGCCAGCATTGGACAACATACATTGTACCTTCTCCAGCAAGGTCCAGTTCATACGTTCTACCACTCCATTCTGTTGTGGTGTATGTCTGACAGTAAAGTGTTGGACAATGCCATCATTTTCACAAACCTTATTGAAATGATCATGTTTATATTTACCTCCATTGTTTGTACGAATACACTTGATCCTCCTGCATGTTTGATTCTCCGCCATCATTTTCCATTTGAGAAACATTCTCAATACTTCATCTTTGGTCTTCATTGTATACACCCACACTCTTCGGGAAAAATCATCAACAAAGGTTACAAAATAGTGTTTCCCACCTAATGAAGGCATTTTGGAAGGACCCGTGTACATAATTTAAAATACCTTTAGTATTATGGATCATTGTACCAAATTTAACCCTTGTCTGTTTCCCTTTGACACAATACTCGCAAAACTCCAAGTTGCAAGCCTTTACTCCTTTTAACAATCCTTGATCTGATAAAGTTTTCAAGGATTTTCCTCCAGCATGTCCCAAGCGCATGTGCCATAGCTTGGTTGCTTCTGCCTCTTTTTCGTCAATGGATGTTACTGTCATTGTCTCAATAATTGTACTACCGTAATAACGGTACATGTTATTGTTCTTCCAATCGGCATTCATTACCACTAGTGCACCGGAGCATACTCTCATCACTCCATTTTCTGCAATGATTTTGAACCCTTTTGATTCTAGGGCTTCCACAAAGATGAGATTTTTCTTCAAAACCGGTACATATCGAACATATGTTAATGTTCTGATCATTCCATCATAGTTCCTTAATCATATTAAACCAATGCCATATGAGGTAAGAGGGTTGTTATCCTCTGTGTGGATGACTCTATATTCTTCCTTCTTGAAAATCCACGAACCAGTCCCTGTTGGGACATATATGATAGCTACAAGCCGAGTCCATCAACCATATGTCTGATAATGTTGATGACTCTGTTGTAACTAATGAGAAGTCTGAATCATCACCATCAACTACATTTGAATCCATAATGGCCTTTCCATTCTTATGTTTGGCCTTATTCTTCAACTTCGGACAGTCTTTCTTCCAGTGCCCGTTTTCTCGACAAAAGGCACATTCATCTTTGCTGGGTCTAGATCTTGACTTTGATCTTCCCTTCTTTGTCCTCATTTGATTTCGAGGACGACCCCTCACAACAAGTGTTTCTCCTTCATCGCCCTTCTGTTTTTCTCCCTTTCTTTGTTCATAGCTGTATAAAGGCGAACAAACTTCTCTAAGAAAAATTTCGTCATTCCCATGGAGTAGAGTAGTTTCAAGTTGCTCGTACTCATCAGGAAGTGACCCTAACAGCATCAAGGCCAAGTCACCATCATCAAAAGTTGCATCCATATTTTGCAAATCTGTGACCAACTTATTGAAACTGGTGATATGTTCATTCATCGTGGTACCAGGAACATAGGTGAAGCGAAACCGTCTCTTCTTCATATACAATTTATTTTGACTATTTTTCTTCAAAAATTTATCCTCCAGTGCTTTTCATAATTTACTTGCAGAAGTTTCCTTTGTGTATGGATATTTTTGCTCTCTAGCAAGGTAGGATCGAATGGTACCGCAAGCAACACGGTTGATAATTCTCCAATATTCTTCTCTAATAACATCTGGTCTCTTTTCTTCAATAGCAAGATCTAGCCCTTATTGAAAAAGGACATCTAGAACCTCGCCTTGCCACATCCCAAAATGTCCGGACCCGTCAAATATTTCGACCGCAAATTTCGCATTTGACACAATTCTTGTCATAAGCGAAGATGCCAATGATGACGTATTGTTGACACTTGATGTAGATTCTTCTTATTTATTGTCTCTCATCTTTGACACAAATATTATTTAATAGCTGACGACACAAATCAAGATTATTTCCTTTATGGTGTGGAAGATCAGACTAAGCTGCAACCACAGAGCATACTTAGACAAAATCTTGACTCAGTTACCAAGATAAATCTTTTCTGATGTGGAAGATCAGACTATGCTGCAACCACATAGCATACTTAGACAGTACATTGGCTCTGATACCAATTGTTGCGGAAGCCAAATGTATATAGTGTGAATGGGTCACAACTACTATACCAAAAATTATGGCAGTCACTAAATAATAAATAAGACAATAATACAACAATAAAATGAACACCAGAATTTACGAGGTTCGGCCAATTTTGCCTACTTCCTCGGACACAACCAATATTTTATTCCACTCTAAAAATACAAGTGAAATAATACTAAAGAGAGAAAATACAAATGCCTTAAGAAGATAAGAAGGCAAATGAGAGGTGTATTTAAATCCTAAACATTAGGCCTCTTTTTATAAGGTGAAATTCCCAACAACTTTCTTCCTTTAGCCGATGTGGGACATTTTGGCATTCAACAACTATCATTTAGCACTTGCGAAGTACGTGATTGTACTTTGCATTACATGCTTACAATAATAAGTTAACATATTAAGACCATTGGAAAGACTAGA